CCCCCCCCCCCCCCACTTTGCCTGGCTCCAGCGACACCTGAATCTGCAAGAAGGTGCCAATGATGTGGTCTTCAGTGTGACCACCCAGTACCAGGGCACCTGCCGTTGCAAGGCCACCATCTACCTGTGGAAATGGGACGACAAGGTGGTCATCTCTGACATTGACGGCACCATCACCAAGTGAGGCCCAGCTGGCCACAGGGAGGGGTGGGAGGCCTGGGTGCTCACTTCCCTCTGTGCTGGATGGGGAGGGGACAGTAAGGGAGGGAAGCCTGGAGGCTAGGCCATGGGGGGGCTGCCTCAGAGTGACTCCTTCTCTCTGGCTATAGGTCGGATGCTCTGGGCCACATTCTGCCCCAGCTAGGGAAAGACTGGACACACCAGGGCATCACCAGTCTTTACAACAAAATCCACCTGTGAGTACCTGTGCTGGGAACCAGCAAGGCCCACAAGGGAGGCAGCCTGGACATTTCCCTGGAATGCTGAGACCTTCCTGCTGGCCTCAGTTCTGTGACAGATTCATCCCCTGAGGTTGTGTTCTAGGATCAGGGTCTACCTGCTGGCCGCAAACCAGAGGGAAGCCCCCTTCTATCCTGGTTCCTCCGGGGCTCAGGAATGTCCACATACCTCTCCTTAGCTTAGCCATTCTCCCTAAGTACCCTTCCTGCAAAGATTTGAAGACCAGAGCCCCAAGGTTGGGTTGGGCAGGCTGAAGCCATGGGATTGGATGGGGAATGGCTGGTCTCTGATGGCTCTGTGCCACCTTGTCTCCCACCCCCAGAAATGGGTACAAGTTCCTGTACTGCTCAGCGCGGGCCATCGGCATGGCTGACCTCACCAAGGGGTACCTGCAGTGGGTGAGCGAGGGTGGCTGTGGCCTCCCCAAGGGCCCCATCCTGCTGTCTCCCAGTAGCCTCTTCTCCGCCCTCCACAGGTAACCACCCCTACACAAGCCCATAGCCCCCTGAAAGGAGGGACAGGCCTGCTGCCAGCCCAGCCCAGGCCTGCACTTGCTCTCAGCTGGCAGCTAGGGCTGGGTCAGACTCCATGTCACTTGAGCCTACCATGTCTTCTGGTTTCTCCCCTACTCTGACACCCTTCCCTGCCTGTGGACCCGGCTACCCCAGGGAGGTGATTGAGAAGAAGCCAGAGGTGTTCAAGACTGCCTGCCTGAGTGACATCCAGCAGCTGTTTTTGCCTAATGGACAACCTTTCTATGCTGCCTTTGGGAACAGGCCCAATGTGAGTGTGTCCCCTCCCCACAGGCCGAGCCACCTCTTCCCCGGCTACCCGCTGCCTCTGTTCCACTGGCCCTCCTTGTCTTCCACAGGATGTCTTTGCCTACCGGCAGGTGGGCCTCCCTGAATCTCGCATCTTCACAGTCAACCCCCGGGGAGAGCTTATCCAAGAACTCATGAAGAACCACAAATCCACGTGAGGCCAAACCCTGCCCCATACTGTGGCCATTCCCCAGGCCCAACTTTACCTCCCCATCTGGCGTCCCTTGCCCAGGGCTCCCAGGCAGGACATGAAGCCTTCACCTGCTGTGGCAGAGGCTGTGGTCTGGTGGCAGCTCAGGCTCAGTGCTGGCCCTGTTCTGCCTGTAGGTACGAACGGCTCAGTGAGGTGGTCGAGCTCCTCTTCCCGCCTGTGACCCGTGGCCCCAGCACAGACCTGGCGAACCCTGAATACAGCAACTTCTGCTACTGGCGGGAGCCATTGCCCACTGTGGACCTTGATGCCCTGGCCTGACTGTACTGGCTGCCCCCTTCTCCCTGGCCTGGCCCAGGACAGACCAGGTATCCTGGGGCATAGGGAGTTGGAAGCTGGGTGCCAACCCACTGAAGGAGAAGAGAGGGCTGGAGGTTGATTGGTAGGCACGGGGACCCTCCACCCTCCCCGTCTTGTCTCCTGTCTCTCCCAGCTGAGCTGCAGCTGCTCGGGGCCTGAGTGTGGCCCTGGTCTGAAGCAATTAGTTTGCTATCTGGGCCTTTGCAGAGTTCTCTATGCCCTTGATATCTCTGTCCCTGTCAACCTGGGATCTTGCCTCAACTCCTGATAGGACAGAGAGAAAGGCCCCACTGAGGCTGAAGGCCTGTACGTATAGAGAAGTGTTGGTGGCAGCAGCAGGGAGTGAAGACGCATCTGGAAAGGACTTAGTGCTCCCCACCCTGCTGGAAGCTGGAACTGACCCCCCTCCCAAAGCCAGACATCACTGCTGGCGCATCCCCCTCAATGGCGCCCTGGCATCTCAGCACAGGATGCACACCCATGGGTGCTCCAGTGCCCTTCCAACATCAGGAAAGGACTTAGCCTGGCCTCTGGCCAGCTGCTGCCGCTGCTCCTCTCAGCACCTCCCCTGAGGACTCAGCCCCACACCTGGTGGGGGCACGTGGGTGTTGGCCTGACCACCCTCTTCAGCCTCTGCTGGTCAGCTCGGTGCTCACAGCTGCCAGGTGAGCTTTCGCCTGAGCAGCTGTGGAAAGCTGGGCGGGCACCCCTGCAGCCTTCCCTCCCACTGTCCCTGGTGAAGGAAGTACCTTTAGACTGGCTAAAAGCTTTAATCCAGAGCCTGCCCTCCTCCCACAGTGGCAAAGTGGAGGTGGAATACAGTCCAGGGCTGTGGGGACCTGCAGAACAGCACTATGGGGCCCATGCTGCCATGGGGGTAACTGAGACCAGGAGCCTCAGCCAAGACGGGCATCAGAGTCTCTGGGAACTCTGCAGCCTGAGGAGCGCTTACATTTTCAAGTTGTCATTCGATGGTTTCGTACCTGAATTTCTCACCTTTTGTGAACATCCTGGCAGGGCTAGGGTTTCTCAAGAATGTTAAAAGCAAGGCCTGGACCCTTTTCTTCCAGCTGAGGGCTCCTTCTCAGGGTCTGGCCTCATTCAGGCCTCCATATTCACTAGGGCCACTCTCTAGAGAGATGCCCTGGCCTGGAGGGAAAGACTTTCCCCCAAAATGGAAGGAAGAGGATCGTGAGGACACTAGGGTTTCCCTGAAAACATCTTTGAGGAAAGAGAGAAAAAGAACAAATTGGGGCGGGATCTCCAGATTGCCTGGATTAGATTCTTTCCTCTGGGATTCTACAGCTGCCTAAGCCCCCACCTTGGGGGAGAATCAAAAGAATAAAGAGAACTCTTGGCTGAGTCTTTGTGCTTCTGTTCTGTCCTGAAGGACACGTGGGTAGCTGGAAACGTGTGGCAGCCTCTGGTCCTTGGTTCAGAAATGGCATCTGTGAGGCTGCCAGACATGAAGACAGTTCCAGTGGACATCACCCTCCTGGAGAAAACTAGCCCAGACAGGTGGGGAGAGAAGCCAAGGGAGCAAGGGGATGGGTCTCCAAGGGCTGCAAGCTGTTGCTTTTGTAGGTAAAGGGCAATGTGGACAGGCTGCTGACTGAGAACAGCCTGTAGGTCTTTGCACAGTTGCTGACTCTGGTGTGTCTGCACAAGAGTGACTTGTAGACGGTGAAGTGTGAGCTTTCTCAGGTCCATCCTGGCCTTCTGGCACGATGCCTTTGTCCTGACCGCTATTCTGAATTGTCCAGTTTGTGCATCACTGAGCATGGATTCTGGCACCTAGACAGCCACACGGAGACCAAGACCATCCCTTCAGTGGCTTCTGAAGTGGCATCTGGGCTGGCCAAGGAAGGCTGGGAGGTACTGCTGGATAAGGCTGTCTCTGGGGTGATGCTCCGGGTTAGTGGGATCTGAGGTTGGGTCCTCACCAGCCTGTCTAGTCGGCTTGCCCTGGCCGCGCCTGCTCAGCCAGCTGGGCCCGACAGTCCAGCAGGTCATCCCGGAGGCGGGCGATGTCCTGTGTATGCTGAGCCAGTGTGCGATTCAGCTGGTCTACGTGGCCCCACAGGCCCTCCCTGGGCATCAGTGCTTTGGTGGGCAAGCTGTCCAGGCCTGCAGCCAGCAGGCCCAGCCTCCTGCATGCACCTTCCACTTGTGCCACCCGCTGGTCGAAGTGGCCCACTGCGAGTTGGAGTTCCTGCGCTGTATCCTGGCAGCGGCTGAGCCCGCCAGCCACCTTGGCCACACCAGCCTTGAGCTGCTCCAGCTCCCCCCGCAGGTTCAGGACCTGCCTGTGGCCAGCCTGAAGCCTTGAGCTTTGGCTGCTGACCTGCTCCTGGATGGCGTGGACTTCGGCTTCCACCTTGCGTTCCCGCTCGTCCAGGGATGTGTTGGCGGCCAAGAAGGCATCTGAGTACTGGCTGACAGAGTCGCTGAGGCCCGTGAGCGACTTGCTCACTGAGTTTAGATTGACCTTGAGCAGAGTAATCTCACCCTGTAGTGAGCTGCCCGTCCCTTCTGCTAGCTGCCCCTGGACCTCGGTTACGGTGCCATTGAGCTGCTGCAACAGAGCTGCGTGGCTGGCCACCTGGCGCAGGAGGGCCTCGCTCCGGCTCTGCCAGGCCTTCACCTCCGCCACAAGGTTGTCCAGGATGGCTGAGGTGGTACTAGGGGTGCATGAGGTCTCCAGAGAAACCAGTCGTTGTTCTAGTACAGCCAGCTCTGTCTGCACGAGGGGCCGCACTGACCTGCCTGGAGGGGTGCTATCGTGGTTCAGCTCCCCAGCCAGTGTGGCCAGGCGCTCCTCGAGGCTCTGCACACGCTCTTCCAGCACAGTTCTGAAGCGGCCCATTCCCCAGCCCCCCATCTCCAGCCTCAGGCAGCATCCCCTCACCCCGCCCTCTGTCCCATTGAGCGTCTCCAGGCCCTCCAGCAGCCCATCCACGCCTCCCTCAAGCATGGCGGCAGAGAGCCGTGTGAGCTCATCCCCAGCTGGGGCGCCAGGGCCCCTTTGGGTGACTGTCTGCAGGGTTCTCTCGAGGCTGTCCACACGGGCACCGATCAAGGCCAGCTGACTGCAGCAGCTGCCCCTGCCAGCCATGCTCAGGCCCTGCAGCCGGGTGCCTAGCTGCGAAAGCTCCCGGCGCAGGGCCAGCTCCCGGCCGTCGAGGCTTTGGTGCAGCCTCCGGCTGGCTGCCTGGCCCTCCTCGCACTGCCGCCGCACCTCCTGCACCCGCAGGTCACACTCACTCTGGATGCCTTGCAGTTTCTGCTCAAAGCCGTCCAGTAGGCTCCCCCAGAGCTGGTGTAGCCGGTGATCCACATACTCCTCCAGCAGGGCCAGGGAGGTGAGCGGGGACGGAGGGGCTTCCCGCAGCTGCTGCAGGTGGGCCTCGTGGCCAAGCGCCAGCCCGTGCACCTCATCCAGCAGCCGCACCTTGGTTTGCAGCGTGTTGCTCACCTCTGTCACCTTGTTCAGGATCTCGTCCAAGGGAGGGGGGAGTGGCCCTCTGGTTCTGTCTCCCGGGTCCACAAGCCCCTCAGGGATGACCCCAAAGCCCACAGGTGCAGCAGGGGCCCTGGGACTACCACTCATCCTCTTGGGGTCCTCGTGGCTGGCCACCAGGCCACTGAGGGTACCATATGATTGTGCCAGGCGCTGGACGTCGCCCTCCAGGCGTTCTAACCGTTCGCCAAACAGCCCTGGGCCTTTCCTTCCTGGAAAAGAGGAGACAACAACCCCAGGGACATCGCTGGTCTGTCCCCCTCAGCTTGTGTGGCCAGGACACCCAAGAAATTTTTTTTCTTTTTAGAGACAGGGTCTCACTCTGTTATCCAGGCTGGAGTGCAGTGGCATGATCATAGTTCACCGTAACCTCAAACTCCTGGGCTTAATGATCCTCCCGCCTCAGCCTCCCAAGTAGCTGAGACAACAAGTGTGCATCACCGTATCTAGCTAATTTTTAATTTTTTTTTTTTTTTGGTAAAGATGGGATCTCACTATGTTGCCCAGGCTGGTCTTAAACTTCTTGCCTCAAGTATTCCTCCCACTTCAGCCTTCCAAAGCACTGGGATTGCAGGCGTGAACCACCACACCTAGTCAAGACGTTCTGTTCTAAGCCTATCTTCTCTCTGACCATAACTCCATCAGCTTTGTGGCAGGGGTGGGAGTGGGCCTGAAGGTTCATCCTCATGTTCAATGTGGGAGGCACCCTACCCAGTTCTGTCAGAGCTCAGACAGCATGGGTCAGCCCCCACCCCGCACCCACCACTGAGTCCAGGAAACCCGATCACCTTGGAGGATCTTCATGGGCAGACTTACCGTGAGAGATGGGGGCTGCTCTGCTGTAAGAAGGGGGCCTGGGGCCTGGGCTCAGCTGCCCTGAGGGAATCTGGGGCTCAGGCTCCGGCTTGGGTGAGGAGGCGCCATGGTCTGTGAGGTGCTCAGGGCAGCGTTCCCCAGTAAGGCCGGGACAGCAGCGCCAGGCGAGGTCTGTCACTGTCTTGTAGCCAACCTTGTATTTGGGTCTGAGCACTGTGCGGTACCTGGGCCAGGGAAGGTGAGAGAGCAGGGTCATGTACTGTGGGCTGTGGTTCCTGCCCCTGCCTGGCATTCAGGGCCATTCGCAGGCTCCTGCATAAGGTCTGGATATCTCCCTACCTCCACACCACCCCCAGGGGCTTCCTTTTTCTATGCTTAAGGCTACAGGCTGGAGCTCAGACCCATGTCAGGACTGGACGCTGGTAGAAGCCCCACCCCTTCCCTTTAGCTTGGAGAGAAGCAGGGACTTTCCCACAACACTCCCAAGACCACTTGGACCCCCTTTAACTCAGGCTGCCATGAGAAATTCCACTTGGATCCCCTTTAACTCAGGCTGCCATGAGAAATTCCACTTGGACCTCAGGAGCACATCGGAGAACTCAGACACAGTCCCAGCCCCTCCTCTGTGGGTGCAGCGTGGCACTGCCCTGCAGCTGGGGCTGGCAGCCCCTCTCACTGCCCTAGGGGCACTCCTGGCTCCCACCAGCCACCCTCAGTTCTTTTCATTCCTCTCTAGCCTGCTCTGGGAACCCAGCTCTGGCCACAGAGGCTGATGGAAGGGCACTTCTGATTTTGAGCATGGGAGGGAAGGCCCAGGGATGCTGGCAGGGCTCACCAGAGGCCATCCCCTCTGCTGGTCAGCCATGTGCCTGTTCACCCACTGACATGCTGGAGCAAACTGGTTTGTTTCCAGACATACCCGTGAACCTCCCCAAGTACAGTCCTGTGTATCACATCTGTGTGAGCTCCACAGGCCCTCACATACAGCCCCAGCTGGCTGTCCTAAGCCCTGGTGCTCTGGCCTCCAACCCCTCACCCTTGGCTGGCCTTTTCACAGTTATCACAGCTCTCCCTGGGTCTGCCCTGGCCCTGACCCCTGGCATCAACCATTGCCCGAGTGACCCTCTGCCCCCACCCTCTGCCTCTGTCACTATATAGCTTCTCCCCCTGGAACTCTTCATTGTCCCTCTGTGGCTGCTGGGTTCCAACCCAAGCCTGGCCCATTCCCACAGGTGACGCTCCACTGCAAGTTCAGGTCATTGAGGTCCTTCTAGCCCCCTCTTCTGAGGCCCTCGTCCACTCTGGCCTGTATGGGGGCTCAGGTGGGCTCTTGGAGTCCACGGAGCTACCGCCCCCTGTGGCACTGGCTGCTGCACTCAGCTGAGGGCAGAACTGGGGCTTGTGCCCAGGGATCCCAAGTGTGCGGGGTGGGCATGCACTCACGTGACTGTCCCGGGGCACTTGGGCCCCCAACCACACTGCCGGTACTCAGCCTTCACGTAGCTCTCTGCTCCTTCCTGTAGGACGCAGGTCACATTCCTGTGCACCACATAGGCACAGAGGGCCCTACGGGGGAAAATGGGGTCCCTGGAATACCTGGCCGAGTCAAGCCCTCAGGCTCCTACTTTCCCTCTCCCACCTGTGGGCCTCAGCAGGAGACAAGACCCCCATGTCTCTTTTGTCTGTGCGCCACATTCCTGGGAGCCAGGCCCTTGGTCTTGTCTCCTTCACTGGCTCCAAATTCCTTCTCTTGGCTTTCAAGCCTTCTGCCATCCCAACTTGGCAACTTATTTGAGGGCACGCATCTCATCTTTCCTCTCCTGACTGACTCCTGGGGAAATGCACCGCTCCTCGTTTTCCAGGCCCTGCCCTGGGTCCTGCTTCCTCACTCTCAGGCCAATTCTTGTACCACCTCCTCCAGGAAGCCTGCTTCAGGCCATGGGCTGGGCACTCCTCTCCTACAATACTTCTCAAATTCAGCTAGAGTCTAAATTCAGCAGCACCCCACCCCCAGGCAGAACTTCTAACCCACTTGACTGAGGCCAGCTCCAAACCGCTGCCTGCCAAAGACCAGAAGCGGAGACAGAGGCTGGGGCAGCAGCCCCATGGCAAGCTCCAAGGTCGAGGGGTGGCTGCCCGGCCTGAGTGGGCCACCGAGGAAGGCGATTCCGCAGCACAGGCCCGGGCCCCAGGAGACCCCCAGTTTTGCAGTCCAGCGGCGCTGGGGCTCCCAGAGGGCTGCCGCGCCAGGCTGACTGCCTACCTGGCGGGCAGGGGACGGAGGGGAGGCCCTGGCGCGGGGCACCCGCGTTCTCCATGCCCGGCCGCCCTTCCTCCTCTCCCTCCACCTGGTGCGCCGCGCCGGGAGTTTGCTCACAGCGCAGCTGGAAAATGTTACTTCGCTGGAAAGCTTTCCGCGGGCACTGCCAGGATCCCAGCCGCCGCGCCAGGCCCCCTCGGCTTGCTTTTC